AGACTCTTGGCACTCTTAGGTGAGCAGACTTAGTCAGCCTGTGTTGCCCTAACAACATGGGCAGATGATCATTGTACCACTATGGCTGCACCCTGAGTTATCCACAATTGCTACAAAGACCAGTTTCATTGTCATGGGCAAGGGGTGCATGCATGGCAGGCCCACAATGCTATGCTTCACCATGCCTTGTATGCAAAAGTTGTCCTGCCTAATCTATATGACCACATACACCATCTTCACTCATGATCATGACCATGAGCACATACTGACACCATCACAGCTCGAGTTCAGCAATCACATCATTGGGTCCATGGTGGCTATCACATACCTTGCTAAGATTGACTCTGGTCTGGACCAGCTCCCTACTGTTGAAACCTGGTATTCCTGTCTTGTCCACAATAACCTGGGCATGAAGAAAGTTGCCAACAAGATTGGTGTGGCTTTCAAGCATGCCATCACCAATGTTTGCCACAACAATCTCACAATCTACAAACAACTGGAAGATACAAACAAGGCTTGCAAGAAGGTCCAGAAGACATTGCTGGAGAATCACAACCAGCCTCCTGACATGCCTATGCACAATCTGCTCAGCAAAGCAGATTATCAGAACATACTTGAGGAGAACACCATTCTGGCCAATATTGCAGAGCATCTTGGTCTGTCTAGCAACTGTCTTGTGAGCACAGAGCTGGTTGCGGAATAGCAGGCCTTGCTGCAGCACAGAAGCCTGTGCAGAGTCCACCTGCTTCCAATGCTGCTCATTGTTCTGATTATGATCATGATCAGAACAATGCCATGAATATCCCTTCACCAAACTGTCTCCTGACTCACATGTTTGACAATGCACCTTCCCTCCAGCCACCATTCCCTGTTGGTGCCCATCTCCATGTTGCTCTCCACTCATTCCTTGACAGTGCTGAAATCCATGATTAAGAACACCATCAACAGTTCATTGACCACATGTCCTTGTTGTACTGGTCATGCAATCCTGGCACTTGGAAGATGTGTATTGCTGAAGAGATGGGAGAGAAGCTGGGTTCTGATACTAACATCAGCATTATGTTCAACAAAATGACTCTCCAACACATCATTGACTGGACTAGCAGACATTGTTGATTGCTTGACAGCCAACACCCTCCCCCACTTTCTTTGTATACTTGTACACATATTCCCAATTGCTGCAGCCAACAGTATTCTCGCTTCTCTCATTCCCACTCTTGCTCATGATCATGAATCACCACCTTTGCAAAGAACCACTAGGAATCACATTCCTTTGTACCCTATGCATCCTGTACCAATATCCCAAAGACAAGGGCAATATATGCTTATTTAAGACACAAGTACATTTTTGTGGATGAGGATCACATTGTGATCCTCACACTCTGTGTCTGGGCAATGTAATTGCCATGTGCCCCTGGAAGACTGTCATGTTCATGATCATAAGACTGACCAAGTGCAAAAGGATACAAGATAACTAAACTACAGTCTGGAGGGTGGGCTTAGCTGACACCACCTCCTTGAATGCTTCCAACTCCTGCACACATGCACACTTCACTTCACAATGCTCTTCCAGCTCGCCCCGTGCCTCCTCCAATCTGATCTCCATCTCAATATACTCTCAAATGTGTGCCACCAACAGTTCCCCATTCATGAGGCAAAGCTCTGTGTTCCTATGTTGCAGAAGCTCCAACTCATGATCAAGATCAACCTTGCTGGCCTCAATCAGCTGCTCTTGAAGCCAATCTATCTTTGTTGCAATGCAATTAAGCACCAACTGCAGCACAACCAGACTTGCTGGCATGAGCTGGCCAGCAGCCACTTCCTTTTGCGCAACTTCCTGGTGAGCCTCTTCCCACATCCTCCAGGTCTTGTTGGCTGAGTGATCATACAGGTCACATGCTCCATTCACCCTTGTCATCTCCTTTTGGAGGTAGTGATTTTGGATGATGAGAGTGTCTGACTCCAAAGGGGTGTGAGGATTGGGCTTGCATAGGCAATATACTTCAAGCTGACAATTCTCCTCACAAAGGCAATGAATCTTCTTGAGTTTCCCCAAGCTCGATCAGACAATAGGGACATGAAGGGTGAGGAAGTTGAGAGCACTCTTGATTGTGGTAATGGTTATATGCAGGGACATGGGGTCACCTGTAGACAACATCTTGGATGGATGGCACAATATAGCTGAAATACTGTGTTGCAGACACATGAGAACCATGTTCACAAACATGAACATGAACAAGTGGACTCACATATGACAGAAGGTGGTGGTAGAAGGTAGCAGAGTGATGCCTTTGCTTGGAACCAGCCACACATTTATAACCCTGGGATGGAGAGCTGTGCACAAATGGATCCATGCATTGCCGGCCTGTGACCACCTATCAGGTCAGAAATGATTTGCCAGCCTCCATCATGTTCACACTGGAATTGTGGGCCCATCTGGACACAAGAGGAAGATTCAATACCAAGCTGGAAAACCAAATGTGCTGCATCTTTCTGTTTGGCCAAGAGACATTGCCCACACCCACAAAATGCTTCTGCACATGTTGAGAGAGAAATTATATTTATCAGGGGTAGTATCCATCCAGGCCACCAAGGGATGACCCTATAGTATCTCCAGCAGGACCTGTTAGTTGCCCATAGAAGTAGCTTCTTATACAGTGATTCCATACAGGAGTAGTGCAGCAAAATGCTTCCATGTGTGGTCATGCTCAGAGGCATGATTACTAGCACATAACACTAGTACTTGTGATGGTGCGGACAGTAGATTGGTTGACCTGGCACATGAATGCATATTATCCTCAAGAGTCTAGCCAAGTTTTAGCATGATCATGATCATGGGAGAGGTACAGATAATAGTTTCAATAATAGTGTCAATAATTGAGGATGTCAGGATTATGACATTGAGCAGGCCCTCAAAGAAGAGAAATGCGAAGTGTCAGCATGAAGCATTGAAGATTGCAAACAAGGAGGGGACATTGCCAGCATCCTCCCACCATCATAAAGCAGATGGATGGACAGCACAAGGACAAGTCATGTTGCAGACCAGTACTGATGAGGTCAGTGAGGAGCTTTTGTGCTCCCTTGCAAAGGTTGTGGTCATTGCAAGTAAGAGTAGAGGATCATGAGCCAGGTTCCTGAGTATGGGCTCAATGGTCATCATGACAGCTTGGCGGTTTCTCCATTTCTGCACCTGGTGCAAGGACTGCTTCTTTGCCTCCCATGCCTTGCACCTTTTTTCCTGCTCATATTGACATTGATGCTGGAGGTGGTTCCCACATGTCCTGGTTGCCTGGTAAGAAAAAGATACTGTTTAAATTCACGTGGCACAGTGGTACCTCTGAAGCCAATCATCCCATGCCTTTGGTGTCTTGCTCATGATGGGGAATGGAAAGTGGGAGCGAATGATGAGGGCAAAGAGATATCTGGCTGAGTTCCTTCCAATGACACCTGGAATCCCTATTCTCATGTGACTCTCCAAGAGGCATGGCTGACTGAACATTATCACAATAGTACAATACAATTATACCTCTACTGAAGAGCCCAAAGAAAACATAAATCACGGGTTTACCGATAGCCCGGTTCGATACCTCCACGATGCTCATGAACTCGTTCATGATCGAGATACTGGCTACTGTAAGGATGATTGGGGATTGAGGGCGGATATCTCGGATGATACCCTTCCGAATAGGCATTCTGAACGTGGAACCTCTATGCAGGTCCGGCAGGATATGAAGGGGGAGGGGGACCTTCTGCCACTCCACCTGGTTGCCCGTGATCATGAGCATGACCAGGATGGCAGCCGTACATTGGTCCACCAAAATATCGCGTCTCAGGTGCCTGAGGGTAGGTGTACGGCATCCGGGCACCATCTGCATCGTAAGGCGGTACAGGCGGTACTGCAGGTATGATGCGATGGGCGTGCAGAGGTCGATCACCTGGTACCGGACCAGTGGGATTTCTGGCGTCGTGGTGGAGCGCTGGAGGACGTATATCTAGAGGATGTGTGGCCAAAGACTGTGGATGATGCCTTGGGGCTTCTGAATGCCATACAGCGCCCGTGTCTGGCATCGTGTTGGGTGCCCGGCTGCCGGAATCGGGGGGCATGGATTGACGCGTCGGCTGATGTATTCCCTCCAGTCCAGAGGCTGGTGGTGCATCCTCGCCGCGTGACTCTGTTCGTGGAGCAGGGGCCATGACGTTCCCTGCTGTCGTGATCCCCTGGGGCGATGCAACGGCAGGCGCAATGGGAGTGGCTGATGGGATGCCGGCAATGGTAGCCGCAGGTTGCGCAAGCTGAGCGGGAGCCTGGCCGGGACGATCGCTATTCGACCTGCCTTCTGATTCTGTCGAAGTCCTCGCACGCTTACGAGGTGCTCGCCCCTGCTCTTGTTCATGATCACGATCATGAACGAGAGCATCAGCGTCAGGGAGCACCTCCTCGGGACCGTCTTCATCTTCTGATGATGATGAAGATGGTATCATAGCACGCTTACGCGCTAGAGCTCGGGTACGTGCACGGCCCTTGACCATCTTTTTCGCAGCTTGAGACAAGGGCTTGAGGGCGGCGCTCATGCGAGCTTCGTACCCCCGACTGACACGGAACGTCGTCCCGTTCACCCGTTGAACAATGACAGGATCTTCGTCTGGAATGCCATTGCATGTCAGCCCTTGAATCACATCTGACCACGCAGCACATACCTGCGTCTTCCCACAGCACAACCTCCAGCCGGGCCTGATTGTTAAATCCGGTGGAGGCGTAGTACAAGGGCGCCAAAGTAGACTGCGTTGCACCACCCCGATTCTCGGTAAGATCCCATGGCCAGGGTAGGTTATCTGGCCAATTACGCATGGTACAATTAGCCTCAATGAGAAAAGTGTCCCAGTCGCGCCAACGAGCACGAGCAGATACATGATCATTAGCACGAGGATTGAGCCGTGCACATTGCTCTATAAGAATGAGAGAGATCAATGGATTAGGAAGGCCAACGTCCGTCTGCAGAGAACTTACGAGATGCATTGCATACTCCCCATAGACTTTGCGCATAGTGGTGACGGTTGGGAGAGGCTGAGGGCGCTTTCGAATCAAATTGGGCCGAGTGATCGGCTTGGATGTCAGGTTCATGGCTTGACGATTCCTACAAGTCTGTTAGTTTCTTGATCATGTTCAATACGCACTCGCTAACCCCAACCAATGATACGCAAGAAGACGCGCGTTGAACTGCGTCTGGCCAAGCCGCTGAACCGAGAACTGCAAGCAGGATGAACAGAAAAGCCGCTCAGGGAGGGGATGCAGCGTACATTCTTCATATGCGGTGTCTCATGAAACATCGTATAATCGCTGAAGTCGTCCTGGGGTACCATGGTGCAGGCAATCACCACGCTGCTGAAGCCATGCGTGTCTTCCCATGTGTCTGCCTGAAGAAGTGGTTAGCATGTCAAGATCATGACCGTTGACATACACGATCCTGCATCTCACGGACAAAGTGGTTCCAGCGATTCAGACGTTGATTGTCCGTGAGTACTTGCCCATCGGACCTAGGGTGAGCTCGTTCCCATTCCGCCAGGGCCTCTCGATAATTTGAGGAGTGACGGATGTACGTGTGGTATGCTGCACGACATTCTTCCTCCTGAAAGGTATCTACGGGAAGGTCACGTCAGGTCTTGCGCATGATCTAGATAGAGGGATGTGTGAGACGGACCTCCATGTTCGGCAGACGATTTACGCTGCCATATACTCCACGGGCTCTCGTTGGAGAGGTAAGGTGACCACCGACCGAGTCGCTTAGCTCCTGCATTGGGAGCATCCAGCATGTCCAGAAAAATACGCGTGAGGTCGCTCAGCATGCGCTTACCGTTTTCCAAAGCGTTCGACTGGCGGGCAGTAATCTTCGTGCGCATGCTGCGTTGCTTCCTCTTCTGCATGCGCTTTCTCTGGATGTTCTCAAAATCCAATGCGGTCGGAAGAGCACGGAGTACCGTAGATAGTAGCCGATCCTTCCACTCATGTAGAGTTGTGTTGGCCCAGTCGTGCAACCGTCGCTGCTGTTCCTCCTCAGGAGCTGGCGGGTCATCGTCTTCGTTGATGTCGCCTTCATTGTCTCGATGGGGGATCGGGCTTGCGGCAGCAGGCCGGAGATCATGTTCATGATCATGACCGACATCAACCGATTCTGGCTCGCGTTCCTGTCGTTCGAATGTAGACCAGGGATGACAGGGGTTGCCATGTCGCCCATCTCGTATGGTACCGTGGTCAAGCCCATGGTCAGTCTCACCGGAGTCCCAATTGGAAAGACCCTGTCCCCATCCGCCATCCTGATTGGGCCTCCACTGTGGTGAAACCAGTTCCGGATCAACAGGTGGGCCGAGATGCGAGAGACTATGGTCCGGGGAAGGGACGAGATTGGATTGACGTGCGTTGTGCTCCCGTCCGATCAAGCGTCCGGATCCATGACCATAATCTTGAGCACGACGATTCCATCTTGGCGAGGCTGGCGAGGTAGGTGCTAAAGCTTGCAGGACGTCTTCTTCTTCATCCGGAGTGCTAAGACGGTCTACCCGGCTCTGCTGGCGGGAGAGGTGAACAGCAGGAGGCATGCCGGGGCGAGGCTCTGCAAGGGCTTCCTCCTGGAGGTGCCGCCTGGTCGAACTGATCGGAGTAGAAGTGAACGGGGGTGGGGAAAAGCATATTGGGGGATGCGAGGGGAGATCTGGTCCTGGAGGAATGGAAGGAGCGAGTGGGAGCGCCAGCGCTGAGGAGGTGGAGCCATTAGTTGGGCCGGTGGTGGGTGGATCTACTCTAGAATCATCTTCCGTGTCGCCAGAAGAAGATAGTTCGACGGTCATGGACATGATCATGGCCAAGTCCATGAAGTCGGGAGGGAGGGAGTTGGAAATGTCTTGGAGGTCGGCAATAGTGTGCTGCACATCATGCGCATGAGCGGAGAAGAGTTGGCATGGTGTAGAGCCTGAGGAGCTATCAGATAACTGATACGTTGTGTCGTCCCTCAAGCGGGTGATGTCATTGTTCGCGTAGTATGTTCCGGATTGTGACAAGTCATCCGCGCTGGGAAGTTCTGTTGGTGGGCAAGGGTATTGAATGCCGAGACCACGAAGGGGATGTTGGTCGAACGCAGCGGGAGGCTCCGCAGCTGCGTTGAGTCCGGAGTCGCCATGCAGGGAGGGGATCAACGTCGTCATTTTGGGAGACAGGCATTCTGCAGAGGTCGTATTAGTGAAGGAAACAGGCTTGGAGCGACTGGTGTGTACCAAGGGATTGATCGGCATCTTGCGATAGGATAAGAGTTTCATTGGTGGGAACAGAGTGTACTGAATATTGATGACTTTCATGTTCACGATCACGGTCATGAACATGAACATGCCATATTGGGCACCCCAGTGGGGGTCTCTGGCGTTATGGACTCCGGGTCCTTGGAAGGCGTCCAGTCGGCAACTGTCGAGTGCTGCACGCAGCGATGGTATATTCCTTGGCATCGCCGAGGGTGTGGCGGTTGCAGGCATCAGTTGGGGCGGAAATGAAGGGTGAGGTGTCGTCCAGGTCAGAGGTAGGCGACGTGGGGGGGTTACTGATCGTGGACCAGTCAAGCAGTTGAATTGGTATCAGTGGACGGAGGGGAGCGCTGTGTTCCTTGCGACGGACAGGTGCCCCGGAAATGTAGGGCAGAGCAACATGCTCACGACGTGTTGGTGAGGACATGTTGCAGGATGTGGCAAGGAGGGGACAAAAAAGAGGAATCTCACAGAACATACCGGAATCTCCTGGAATGTAACAGAATGTTGACGCGACGCGACGCAACTTGTCCACATGTCACGTGCTGAAACCTGGTAAGTCGTGGTGGGGGAGGACGGGGCCAGTGTCATAAGATCATGATCATGAACATGCGCATCTTGCCACCTGCGGACAAGTCGACACCCGGAGGGAGCAAGAGGCTAAGTGCATGTTGGGTGCAACAATGATGGGCAGTGAACATTGCTCTGGGGTGAATGTTACAATGCCACAATGTTGCATGAACAATGTTTGGGCAGGACGGGCTCGAGGGAGAAGGAGGAACGGAGGCAAAGGGAGCTATCCAAATGGGGGAAGCAAAAATGTTGCAACATGGCGAAAACATGTGCCTTTGGATGGGCATCGCGGAGCGATGCGGATAGGGCCCTATAAGGATCCGTCAGGTGGGTGCCAGAGGTGGAACACCCAATAAGCTCGTGGGGAAAGGTCAATCAATTTGAGTATATTTATTTTGGTTGACGGGCGGACTGAATAAGGGTTTGCAAACAAAACCATTCCATTGGCCTATTCCCTGTCACGGTGTAAAACCTTCACATCGGGAGCGCCGGAAGCAAGTGTGTACGGGGTGTCTGGGGTCTGGATCCGCGTGTGAAAACGCCGAGGAGGTTCGTCATTTCCATTTGTTTCCGTTAGGGACTTACTGCGGGTAAATGAGAACACTTTCGTGCTGAGGCGCTCTTGGCCGCAGAAACTACTTATCTCCATTCCCTTCTCTCTCTTCTCTTTCCTCTTCTACCACCATCTCTTCCTCCTTTTTTCTCACCTACTACCAATTCACTCTCTATCTCATCTAATGGATTCACCAGCTTCTGCTCCTACAACAACACCTCAAGTGCCCAGCACACCCGTGTCTGTGCCGTTACCAAGACGCGCACCCCGCAACTCTATGCAGAACGTATGGACTACTCGTCCTTACGGACCGGACGACATTCCCGAGACCCCTCTTTCCCAGAAATGCGGACGTGTCGACGGGGTATGCTGCAAGGACCTGAAGGGAGAAGACGAGCGAACGCTTGTTGATCCTGATGTCGTACGCGACATGTACGTAGTCCTTACCCTCGGTGTTGTTCAGCGCTGACAAAGAGTAGTGTTATCGGACTCTCTGACGGGTTGACTGTACCCTTTGCCCTCACTGCTGGTCTTTCCGGTCTTGGAGATTCGAGGATTGTCGTCCTTGGTGGGTTTGCGGAACTCATCGCAGGAGCGATCTCTATGGGTATCGGTGGTTTCCGTACGTCATACGTCTACATCACCTATATGTAATTAGTGACCTTTCCCAGTGGCCTCCCAATCCGAACGCGACCACTTCCGCTACCTCCGCAAACAGACACACGACCGTGTCGCGCGCTCCTGTGACGGGGAGATGATGCGCGAGGTGTATGGCGTTCTTGGTCCTGTGGGGGTGGACGAGCAAACCAGTAGGCAGGTGGCAATGCAGCTCCGGAAAGTCGAGTGGGACATGGCTGCTGCCACAGCTGCAGAGTCTCCAGCGACCTCCTGGCGCAGTCGGCTCCCCATCGGCAAGGGCAAACACGTCGCGAACGGCAACGGTCACTTAAACGGCAACGGGACCGGCATACCGCACCCGGAAGACGGCGGCCTGAAGTGGAGCGACGACGTTGGGCTCACCGCATTCCTCCTCAAGTTTGGCGAAGGCATGGAAGAGGTCCCAACTCGGAGGTTGTACCTGTCCGCGCTCACCATCGGCCTTGGATATTTCCTCGGGGGTCTCATCCCTCTCCTCCCATATTTCTTCTTCGAATCCGCAAACATGGCCCTCATCTATTCCTGCCTTCTTACCGGCATCATTCTGCTCATCTTTGGTGCCGTCAAAACGCATTTCACGGGTGCAACTGGTGGAATAGGCGGTTACATCAAAGGTGCCATATCGATGCTTGTCGTCGGTGGCGCGGCCGCTGGTGCCGCCTTTGGCTGCGTGAAGATACTCGAGGTGCACTCATGACTCTGTTTCGCAAAATAGACCGTCATGGTCTTGTCTTACTCTTATTCGCGTTGTATGATACATTCAGATCGAGGGGGGCGTATAGAGTCGTTCGCTCCCTCTCGTTTTATCAGCTTGTCTTTCTTTTTTTCTTTTGTCTTTCAATTTCAATCAGCCTGTATGCATCGCGCACGATTCCCATCTCTCCCAGTCTAATGCATATTCCACAAGAACCCAGACCCAATGTCCCCGAAAGAACGGGCAAGATAACACATTAAGTGAAGTTATAAGGAGCGTCATAAGATATCGTAGCATATGGGTATCCCAGTATTCCCTCGTTCCTCATCCATTCCCCCAATAAACCCACACCGGGCAGAACGGATCAGTCATCAATCCCTATAACTCTCCTCATTTGTACCACAGCCGAGATCTCTTTCAGCCCTTCCTCTAACACGACCACGTTGTCCAGTAGCTCGGAGAGGGTCGTGGTCTCGACCTCCTTCTCCTCTCGCTGTTCGGGCGTCTTCGGCCTGCTCACAGGTTCGTCCTCTCCGCCCCAAGCGGCCGCACCGCCCTCCGGCTCGTCCCTCTCGTCCGGGGAAGTCACTTGCTGTCGTTTTCTTTGAGCGGGGGACCACGGGCCTGCGGACGGCAATGCGCCCTTCAAAGGGGTTAGATGTACCGCACGCGTCTCGCGATAATGTCGTTCCAGCGGGCTGGGAGGGCTTTCTCGCGAGTCATGCCTCGAGTGCGGGGGAGTGTGTTCAGCTTCGGCAGAGGCAGCTCGGGCACGGGAAGGAGAGAAGTATGCAACGAAGCCCGCGTAGCGGTGAGGTTTCTTTGCGGGTGTGACTGGGCCCGAATGTTCCGACACCGGAGCGGATTGGGAGGATGATGTTGGGTGCTTGACAGGAGTGTCAAGCGTATCGCTATCTTGTTGAGCTGAGGAGAGGAGACCGCGCCGTCTTTGCTCGAGATACTGATCAAACTTTGGTGCTTGATGGCGATACTTAGGCAGCTGGGCGGTCAGGCTCGAGAGGCAGGTGTACATTGCTGGCTGCGTCGACCCGTGGGATGTGACGCTGTGCGTGATCCAGTCGGCTAGGGATAGCTGAGGGCTACAAGCGATGGCGTGAATGACTCCAGTGAGAGACAGATTCATATCAGGCGAATGGGAGAAGAATCTTTGAGTCACGTTGAGCAACTGCGCTAGGAGAGGATCTGTAGGTGAAAGGCGATATTTCCTGTCCGGAAGCGACAGGATCTGCTCTGTATCAGCTTCAGAATCCAGCAGCGGATTGCTCCATAGCAACTGCGTTTCGAGCCAATCCTGCGCATCTTGGAGGTATTGGGTGTTCCCACCTCGCTGAGCCTCCGCGGCGAACTTGGGGTCAATGCGAGCTACCAAGTGCCGCCACGAGTCCGCATCGTCGATTTCGAGTGGAACATGCCGCAGCGCCATCAGATCGTCTTCAGATTTGCTTGCGTTCGCCCTTGGTGAGTACGCGGTGGAGAAGAAATCATCCTCCGGAGAGAGGAATCCTGGTCTGGGCGTCTTCAACTCGTCTTCATCCAATGCATGCCCATTCAGATAAAGATTAGTCTCGGGGAGCAATGTGAAGATCCGAGGGAGTGCAAGTAGTCCGTGCTGAGTGAGAAGGGTATTGAGCAGCTTTAACGCAGCACTTGCGGTTGGCTGTGACTTGCTTTCGAGATTGGACAACAGAAGGTCTTTCACGGTAAATCGTCCCAGCGAGTTGTAATATGTTGACTTCCTCCTGTTGCCGGTCTCTAGCTGCAATAAGGTGAGAGCGGTACTCTGTCTCGATTTCTGTTTCGATTTTCGAGACCTATTCTTCTGTTTCTTGAGGTGGGATGGCTCCTTGGCCGGCTCCTCTCCATCATCGCTAGTCAAGAAGTTGATGATGACCTCAGACATCTGGTCATCCTTCACTGTACTGAGAATCGCTTCGAGGTAAGTGATGACCGCCACAGCACTTCCATCTTCATCAGAGCATTCGAGTATGGAAGGATACAAGACGTTCTCCAGAAATGATGATCGCAAGAATTTGAGGATCGACTTGGCTATTGACCTGCCAATAGTGGTTGATGCTGAGTTGTCCAGGTTGTCAGACGGCGTTGTCTCTCGTATGACGACTTCTTGAATAAAGTCGATCATTTTGATAAAGTGCACTAGCCGGGCTTTGAATTCGGGACTAGTGGATACATCCATTCCAAACGCCCTGGCTCGCTCCAGCTCCTCGTCAATGTCGCTCTCGTCCTCGTTTGATTTCATCCCGCCCAGCACCATAGTGCCGTTCGGCTCTTTGCCGCGTGAGCCTTCCTTCCGAACAATGAGCTTGGAGGGTAAGAGAGAGTAGACCGCGCCCAAGGCGGCCGCAAGAACATCCGGAAAATCGCTTTCAAGAATGTATTCAGCAAAGGTTAGTGAAGCTTCCGACAGCGGATCACTCGTAGGTGGAGACGCTCCAGGTTTGTGAGGTGACAACTCTGAGGCGGACATGGCAACGTCCATTAAGAACAGAAGCCCGGTTCGAGCGTTATCTCCGATCTTCCCTTCCCGATGAATGAATCGTAGGAGATAATTGTAGGCCAAGAACTCGTATTCTGGTCTTCGATAGAAGGAGGATGCTGTAGGCGCAGACGTGATTGTTGTCGCGGAAGGTGTAGGTGATATTGAACGCTGGGCTATCTCAAGAGCAGTTGATGTTATAGAGGCGAACGAAAGCTCAGCCGCGTCATCCTCATCGTTGACGTCAGCCTGAACTATTTCATCTTCCTCCAAATCGTGGTACACGTTCTTGTCGTGGAAGAATATAAGCAGGAGTTGGGGATAGAGCCGAATTCTCGAACACAGAGCGCACATGAGATCGACGACTGGATGCGGGTGAGAGGCAGTCTGAGAGGGCCATGTTATGGTAAGTACGCACGATCTTCTTCGTAGTCGCTTGGTCGGCCCCGCGAAGCCCCAGCGGCGCCCCTCGCCTTCGTGCCTCCGTCAAAGCTCCGAGACTCATCCCTCACACAACTCCTCAACAACCGAAGAACCGCCTTATGGACGGTAGAATGGACAAGAAAGTGCTCATCCATCAAGACAACCAAATTCAACATGGCTCTGACCACTTCGGTTTTGATTCCAAATGGAAGGTCATTGGAACTCAGGCGAACCAAGGTATTCAAGACATCTTATGTCCGCATTAGAACAAGTTTCAAACATGGCAAACAGGTCGACTCACCGTGCTTGAGCGTATATTCCAGGCATGGACCAGTAGTGCTGCAGACCGTTAGTGTAGTCGAACAGAGTACGATGAATACATACTCCGCATCTGGGGTAGACTCCAACACAAGTTGATTTACGAGCTGTCTCAATTCATTTGGTATGTCCGTAAATCCAATGCCTCTTGTAAGTTGTCTTTCATCCGGCCGTTGAAGTGTGTCCTATCTTAATGTCAGGCAATGTTACACCATGGGATAATGTTCATGGCGCACCCTGATGTGCTCCCAAGAATGTGTGAACGACGCGACATCTGCGTTTGAGTCTTTCTGCTCGGCTTTCGGTGTCGAACGAAAGACCTTGGTGAAGTAGCTCATCGACTTTGTGCGCCAATCAGTGTACGTTTCATGAGTTGAAGATGAAGAAGCAGTTAGGTGATGGCTTAAGTGACGATGGTGAGGGTATATGCGTTAGGTTGTCAATGCGACTGCAGCACGACTACGGTATTCGTCGCGCCTCTTTGAGCCTTGGGGTGGCAGTGCTACGTGACTTCCTTGAGTTAATTCCTCCGATGACCCCAATTCGGAAGTAAAATCGCCAGAATGGCCCTCCGGGCTCAAATTCCCTCGATGGCCCCTCCGCCGCGGCGTTATGCCATCTTAAGCCAAAATAGGGCACTCTCATGCCAATATCTAAAATTTAGGGGTACTGTAATATTATTTCGAGAAAATTTTGACAGAAGCATCAGAATAGTGAAGAAAGAAGGGAAAAAAAATGTTTTCTTTCCTGTGTACTCTCGTATTTTTGTCTTACTGTTTTTCATGGTAAATTTGGTTGATATTTTGCTCATTTAGAGGTATTTCATCGTCTTCTTAAGGAGGACCCCTAACTTATATTTTTCTCAACGACTTTTTTATTTAGTTTAGGAAGCGCGAATAGATCCCTAACACCGCGCCAGAGGGGTCATCGAGGGAAACTGAGCCCGGAGGGCCATTCTGACGATTTTGCTTCCGAATTGGGGTCATCGGAGGAATTAACTTTGATTTCCTTTAATCCGTGCTTCCGTCCTCAGGTATGACAGGCACAACCTTGACCAGAACCTACTTTTCGGGCTCGATACATGTTGCATAAAGAATTGCAAAAAGGAAAGGTAGAAAACCAGGTGGCTAATAATACCTACAATCGCGGAATTGTGTATGGTATAACCTTTCAGTCCGGTAAACTTTCATTGATCAGCGTTGGTAGTTTAATGGCTAGAATCCGAGCTTCCCATAACATGGCTCTATTATGAGAGAAATTGCTCGGGGACCGGGTTCGATTCCCGGCCAACGCACAACCTTTTTATCACCGTTACAAAAAGTCCGGTTTGAGTCCGCGGCTTGTTACTTTTATACATGCACATTTTCTTGCTGCCCGCCATCTTAATGTTCTTCGTGAAAGTTTCTTTACCAGGAGGAGATGTCAGGTCCGAAAGTGAATTTGGATCTGATGTGCTCTGTAGTTGGGCCCTCGTGAACGGCACGTATCCATCTCCCCAGAGAGAGGATGTCCAACGTCAGCCTCAGAGGAACTGGTACCAGTACGCATATAGTATCTTGAGGAACAAAAGAATATCCCTATTAGTTAATAGTACAAAGCTGCCTGTGATCACTAAGTCCACATAATCGTATGAGAGTCAAAGAACCCGATCCTATTTCCATAGAAGAATGTGACAGTGCAAAATCCAGCGTCCTTGACTTTCCGCAACAAGAAGTACAGAGTAGGGACATAAGTATACAGTCGTGGCTCCTTTTAGATAATACCGTCAATTGCCTGGTTGCTCTGATCTCAGGGTTGGGCTAGGCGCTCGACTGAGATGCTCTGGGATGGAGAAGAAGCGCCCAATCTCGTTCTGGAACAGCAGCATCGCATCCGTGTCAAACGATCCGTTCGTGTTATCGCTCATGGTAACATCCATCAGTGGATGTTGCTCTTGTGGTGGTGGCTGCAAGGATTGTTGTTGCTGGGTGTTCATCGGTTGTGGCTGCTGGAGATCTGGTGGACCGAGCTGCATGCCGCCGCCTCCTTGCAATGTTTGTAAGAAGTTGTCGACTGGATCGGCGATGCTGTAATACTGAGTTGGCAAATTGGAGAACTGGAAATCCGCTTCTGCTTGGTTGAATGAGACGCGTAGAAGATTCGCTGGATCATTTTGAAGCAGAGCATCCATGCTGCTGTTGTCCTGCATGCCCAGAAGCGTGTCCAGGGTGCCGGTGATTCCGATGCTTGCTCCTTCTGGACTATCCCCGAAACGAAGCATATCGGCCTTCTGACTGTCAGAGGGAGAGACTGGACCATTCGACCCGTCTTCGGTGTTATCTCGGTGAGACTTCCGATTTTCGGTAACATGCATCCGCCATTGCTTTGTTGCCCATTGTTTGATGAGCTCGCTGTCCGGCCGAGGCGCTGCAAGAGACATCAATGAATATTCCTCTTAAAAGCAGCTTGCACATACGAGCAACTTGGCTGTCACCACTCTCACCACGGCCAAGGTCGAAGCTTCCGTCCGGTGACATATCCTGCTCCTCCAGAATCCTCCTCACGGCCATTACACCTCCCCAATACTTGGACATCTTGGCGAGGAACTGCTTACACTTGGCGATGCTAGAATCCGGCCATTTCTTGCTCATGATCAGGTTCATCGGCATCTGCGCTATGGGGAACTCCTTTCTGTCTTCTAGGAATGAGCGAGCAGCTGTGAGAATGGGCAGATCGACGAAGGGGTTGCCCATGAGTGCTAGCGGACCCTGCTCGTCTGTCAGGAGGACCATGTCCACAATCGTTCGAGCGGACTACATAACGAAATCGGGGTTAGAACACTTTCTCGACGACAGAAATGATACTTACGGAACGCGAAAGCTCGACGCTAGGCATAGACGCACGCGGTACGTCTGGAGTAAAGTCCTCTAGTAACTGAGGGCGATGCAACACGATAAGGACAGAATGGAACATGACGTGCAGCAGGAGGAAAAGAGCACCTTGGCTCGCCTGGAAATACAATTTGAAGTTGGCGAGATTGAACTGCAGGTCGTTTGGCAAAGACGCATAGAACGCCATCATCTCGTATTGTAATGATCTGACAAGAGATCAACACACGCTGCGTTAGATGGACACAAGCGAGACGTACGTTAGCTCCAGGTCAACCGGGCTTGTATTCAGCTTTCTCTTGACGGTGTTATTGATCAAGTCTCCCATCCGACCCCTCAACTGCACCAGCCTGCAAAGATGCCCAAATACATACCCCGGCGGGGGTGGCGTAGAGCGATTATACCCATGTTGCATTGGTGGGACAAATGGGGGCTCTGTGTCAAACGCATCGTCCGGGATAGCGATGGGCCTTCCGGTGCCCCAGCAATTTATCCGGTCTACGAGTATCACCGCCCACCAGGTAGCGCGGATGCGTTCCGGATGGTCAGTGACCAGCTGAATAGTGGCTTCGAAGCCCAGCCCGAGGTCCATCGCCATTCCTACAGCCATGCGGGAATACATCCATAACCCTGGGGTAACGTAAGTCCAGCTCCGGCACGGGGAAACCTCGGCGTACCGCTATCTCGCCCGCAGCCAAACTCTGCCCAGGCGATCAGAACCAGCGCTTGGACGATTTCCACGCTCGGCAGGGACAGATACGGGGTGATGATTTCCTGCGCTTCTCAGTTTGATGCCCGTATATAATCAGGGGGAGGCGTACCTTTGCTCGCATGCAGTATTTTTCCGCTGCCCTTGCTCTTCTCGTAGGCAACCCTTCGACATCGGTTTGGAAAAGCAGCACCTGTCGGTCTGTGAACCTAATTCCGAGAGCGGCGATACAATTCGCGAGTGTGGCCGTGATCTTCTTCTCCTTGATATCGCGCATCACTTCCTCCCGATCGAGGAATGGGAAATGACAGCCAAGGTAATCGAAGAACAGTTCCGCCAAGTGAGGTAGGTGGTCAGGGTGGGGCATGGTAGGCACGTCATCTGCGGGGTCGAAGAGCGGGCGGTTGTCTACTGGCAGAGAGGGGGATGCGGACCGGTGAGGACCAGTAGGGAAAGGAGGGAGAGGAGCGCCAAAGACGGGAGGCATCGTCAGCGGCGGTCGGTGGAAAGGGTGCCTTACAGCGTGTGTGAAAGGATCGATGCTAGCCCCGTTCCCGTTGCTGCCATTCATCCCGTTCTGACCATTCGTAGATCCAGATGTTCCGTCAACAGGGGCACCGCTGACCCGCGGTACATCCGGGGACGAGTCCCTCGAAGTCGTCCCGCCCGCCGAAACTGCCGGAGCAGCCTTCTCGTACGTATGCGTATGGACGTTGATCCTTCGATAACCGGGTGTGTTGGCCGTAGCGCCAAAGTAGCGAAAGAAGGGGACGCTGATTCGCTTCAACTCGCCTTTCTCGTCCTCGCTAGGCGGGTACTCGTCCCTCCCACCGCGGAAACCCACCCCAGATCCTGGCTCAAGCTTTACCCCTGCTCGCCCGCGCCGAGCCTGTTTCAGCCGATCCATCTGCACTGCGATCCCAGGCAGGAGGTTGCCCTGGAGGTTATGTAGTCCTTGGAGATTGGGAGGGAGGGTGGAATGATGCGGTGCGAACATGCGATTTGCGTGTAAGAGGCTGTTGAACGACCCGGAGGAAGGGTTGATAGGGGTTGCGAGCGCTGTTTGGCCGACGGGAGACTCGGGCGTTGGGAGGTTCGCCCCACTTCCTGTTGAGGCTGCTCCGCTGCCTGATGAGCTCGCCCCGCCTGGAGTGGCAGTCTGCATACTGGAAACCCCTTGTGCAAAGCTCTCGAACGATAAAGGCGAGTTGAGCCCTGCTCCAGGGCTGGAAACAGAAGGAAGGTCAACGCTGATCCTCGATACTCCATTCACGCCATTCTCCATCGCCGGTCTTGCCAGACTGTTGCTCCTCCGCCTATGCGGACCCAACCCTTCCTCCGGTGCACTGCCCTCCCTCCATGGGGTGGGATACGGTGCTGCAGAGGTGGCGGAATAGGAGACACCGAGCTTCTCAGCTTGGTACTTGTCCCTGTCTGCAAAGGTGCATTCGAGTGAGGACTGCTTGCAGGATTCGCAGACTACGGAGGCGGGAGACCGGAGACACTTGATCTTCTTGTTGCGGCAATTGTCGCATGCGGTTACCTGGAGAAAGTTAGCATGTCACGACTCGGAAGAAGGGAGTGATGCGAGAGCAGCATAGGGAAGGAAAGGGATTGAAGTGATATGAGATGAATGACACACCAGCCTTGCGCGCTTCTTCTGCTGTCCTTTGCCCGACTCACTCGGCTCCTCCATGACGAACCTAAAAGTGCCGCTCATCGTGAATTACTTCGATTACTTCGCGTTTTACGTTATTTCCTCTGCCTCTCGGAGGTTGGATTCGTGCTTTCAGGAGCTACTGCTTCTTCGCTTCGGGGAAGGGGTCGTGCGGTTGGTTCTCGATAGAGTCCAGTGACGGCTGTCGTCAAGCGCGGTCGTGAGCACCGGCGGGTCGAGTGCAGGAATGCGGGGTCGGCAGGTATTGCCTAATGAAGAATGAAAACCGGTGAGACGGTAGGGGATCGTCTGTTGAAAAAGCGCTTTGAATGGATCGTCGTTCCCAAGTGGGGAAGCAGTTTTCCTAATGCGGATTGGGGTAGAATCGCTAGTGATTATACCGTGTGATCTGGATAGGTCAGAGTATTGACCAGGCGTGAGAAGGGCGTTCGGAGGAGAGACGAAGTAGGTAGACAGGTTCCGGTCGGTCTCGTCACTTTGGGATGGAGTTGTTAGGATGACTGTCGGACAGAGTCGACTCGGGGCTAAGGTTGGAATGCTATGGAGAGGGGGTGGCTGAGGTAAGCGATGGAAATTCTATGTCAGTGAGACTGGGGGTGGTCAGCTGACGAGCACTTATGATAATCACGGTGAGGTAGGTTTGTACGGCAGCTTCAAAGACTGTGTGAAAGCTAATCGTTTGGCAAGGGTAGTAAATTGCTAACTCCTTTTGTGCGAAAGAGCGAGAGTGTGAAGGGTTGAGATCGGGGTGCGGAAAGGGCGTACTTTTGGGGGCGGGTCAAATCCTACCGGTTCAATATGTGCGCGGACCTGGGGTTGTGCGGGGACGAAGAGCGGGTCGGCTGACAGACGGCACGAGTCAGAAGTTTGAGGCAAATGAAGAATACCGAACCGCTCGGCAGTGACGGCCCGGCAACCCCGCAGCTTCTTTTCTCTCTTGCATCCATTGTTAGGTACGAGGTATTAATATTGCACCACTTGCTTCGTTATCGGACAATAGAATAATTGGTATACGTTGTCCAGGAACCAACAGTGGCACCTTACTGTTATCACACGTGATGGTTACCTCTCAGGCAGGGTAAGACACCTGACCGGCATCACGCCTTTGTGCAGTGTGCGCATATTAGCACCTTATGAACGGACCGTCTGATGCACGGCAGTGAAGGTGTGATATCCGGTTAGCAGATAACCTCAGGAATCATTCCATCGGGTTATCGATCCCCTATGGTATGTTCACTTGAAGTATGTTAGTGAAACCTTGCCTAGTCAGGCAAGACACTGTCTTGTTACTCCCTTGTTGTCAAGCTACATCTGCCTTTCAGCACTCACAACCACACATTGAAAATCCAACATTCACTGCAATTTGGGGGTCCTGATCCAAGCCTTGGATAGATCCAAATAGCTACCCTAGTGGGTGCAATCCAGCATGTTAGATTAGATATACTGTCATAGTAATCAAATGTTTTGTAATATATGTATAATCCACATCTAGATGGGGTACAGTACTATATTATAAACCCTATCAGTGAAGAGTATGTGGAATAAGTGCTATCTGGTGCTTCACAACAAGTACTAGTACACACCTACAGATTGTTAGTGCTATGAGTACTCCAAGGAGACAAGCCCTTCCATCATCAGAGGAGCTGGGCCAGGGCTATCAGCATAGGGAATGGAGAGAGATTGCAGTCATGGGGAGAGCTGGAGAGAGGATTGGTGTAGTTGTCAGAAGAGCTGGAGAGAGAATTGGTGTAGTTGTGGGGAGAGCTGGAGAGAGGATTGGTGTAGTCATGGGGAGTGACCAACTTCTTAATGGTCAAACACTCCATGCACAGGCCAATGAATGCAATTGATGACTGATAATGAGTGGATTGCAACAATGCATGTCACTCTACATACAATGTAACTGTAAGGACAGTAGGTTTCACCCCAAAAAGGGCACAATCAATCTATGCTCATGATGACAACACCATTATGCATCACCTACCACAGCAGGCTTGGGGGCGCTGACCATCTGCAGGACCATTTGTCCAAGTCCTTCGATAAAAGCCAAGATGCCAGCAGCATTGACAACCCCGATCTGTTCACAAGCTATCCACAACACTGCATATATTGTCAGTTCAGGATATCTGTCTGATCCCCATGCACTTACCAATGCAAAAGATGGTACAGAGGATGAGTTTCCTCCATATGATGATGAGCAACTTCAGCTAGTGGGTGGCACACTTGACCAAGTGAACACCTCCCTTGCTCTGATACTCATGCCAACTGCCATGAGCCTGACCAATTCTTGCTGGAAACACTTCTCTGACACCTTGCTCAGAGGGAAGCGTGGTTGGAGCTCGTTGTAGTTGGCATCTGGAATTGCAGCATCAGCAATGGTGGGAACATGGGCTTGAGAGATGGTTGCAGCCTAGACAATGTATGTCAGCTCTTCCCATGACAACACCACATACAGGTGCATACATGCACCATGTACTGTTGGTGCAGGCAGGGAACTTACAGGAGTCACAGGTGCTACCACCTCCAGCTTCACCAGACTCTTTGCAGTTGTTGACTGCTCCCCTTCATCCTCTTCTTCAATAACAGCCGGTGTCTTCCCCTTCATATCTGACATCTCAATGTCTTTAGGCTTGCTTCCTTCACCCTTACTTTTTTTATCAGTGTTCAAGGTGGATAACACTGCGGACCAGGGCGCAAGCACTTCCTGCAACTTTGCAAAGATCAGATCAGGCTGCAGAGAACCATCTGTGTGGCCATCAGTTGTGTCCAACTCAGTTGGAGAAGTTGCCTCAGACATATTGTTGTATAGTAGTTAATCTATGCTCAAGGTGGTGGTAAGAAACAAAGTGGAGGTGTCTGGGAACAGTGGGACATATGTGTGTGTACAGCTTGGGCGCCACAGGTGCTTTTCATTCTTCTAGCTCAAAATCTGGATTTCTGACATTGTCAATGTATGAGTAAAACTCATGTTATCCTCATTGCAAACACAAGGATAAAAGACAAACATTCCCACTAGACCAGTTTGTTCTCTTCTTAGGATACCATTGTGTCAGATAGAAAGCAGTTGTGGGGAGAGTATGTGCTGATGCCAACCACAGATTTGATCTCAATAATTGCTTTCAGATCCAAGTAATGCAGAGATACTCCTTCAAAGATATAGTTGAGTGAAGCTACAAGTGTTTAAAGAGATTGAGCCATATTGTAACAATAATGGATATCATCTATTGTCTCAACAAACATGGTGTCTAAAGTCACCTGACAAGTGACAGACACTGACTTGTGCATTTGCACAGGCCTGCAGAGCCAAAGGTTCTGCTGTCCCTCTGCTCATCATTGTTATCCTCCTCTCCATTGTCCACATTCTTGAATCCTTCAATCGAAACTCCTTCAATTGGGCTTGAATCTGTGAGCAACCATATGCTTATTGATATTGCTGATATTCTGACTTGTTTCAAGCATTCAATCCAATGGATTATCTGCCATTTGCCACTGGTAAATCCGAGTGGCTTGCATCCTGTGATGACCCAGGTGGTCATCACAGAACATCAGGTATGCACAGCGAGCTCCAGTACTGTTGATGGTCCTTCTGCAGTCTCAGGTCCCATCCTCTCTCCAGCTGTGGCCCTGATTACACCCCTCCTCTCTCCAGCTCTCCTCAAGACTACACCCATCCTCTCTCCAGCTCTCCCCACAACTACACCCTTCCTCTCTCCAGCTCTACCCACAATTGATCCATTCCTCTCTCCACCTCTTCCCACCACTACACCCCTCCTCTCTCCAGCTCTACCCACAATTACACCAATCTTCTCTCCAGCTCTTCCCACAACTACACCAATCCTCCCTCCAGCTCTCCCCATAGCTGCCCCCCTTGAGTCTCATCTGAAGCAGGCACTAAGGAGGATAGTCCTGATGTAGTCCCTGCTCAGTTCCATCTACCTTCTTATTGATCTGGGGTGGAAAGGGAGGAGGTGTTCAATTTGACCAAGTTTACACAACCACATTTGTCTCCTCCTGATTACCAGCATACTGCTCCCCCCATCCAGCCTCTGTGCACTCCTTCTAGTGCCCCCCC